TAAAGCATATTTGCGTTGACACATGTTAATTCCAATGTCAGAATGGGCAAATTCCAGCCCTAAAATATATTTCAGAGTACCAAGGTCTTTGATTGTGAAACAGTCATCAAGGTGCTTCTTAATCAAAGTTATTTTATCAAAATTATCACCAGCAATTATTACATCATCCACATATACAAGTAGAGCAATAAAACAGTCAGATGTGGAATAAATGAACAGAGATGAATCAGATATAGATTGAGTAAAGCCATAGGCTATCAGGCAAGTGGTTAATTTATTAAACCACTGCCTTGAAGCTTGTTTGAGGCCATAAAGGCTCTTATTCAGCTTGCAGACTCTTGTATCAGAATTAGAACAATAGCCTGGTGGAGGTGTCATATACACCTCCTCATCTAAGTCACCATGCAGAAATGCATTATTAACATCAAGTTGGTGTATATGCCAATTTTTGACTGATGCTAATGCAATTAAGAATCTAACAGTGGTTATTTTAGCCACAGGTGAGAATGTTTCAAAAAAATCAATTCCTTCTTCTTGGGTATAACCCTTGGCTACTAACCTAGCTTTATACCTTTCAACTGTGCCATCTGACTTGTATTTGATTTTAAAAACCCATTTACAACCAATGCAATTTTTGCCAATGGGAAGTTCAGTTAAATGCCATGTATTAGTCTTTTCAAGAGCATCTAACTCATTTTTCATTGATGTTTGCCAGAGAGGATTTTTAACAGCTTGAGAATAAGTTTTTGGTTCAGTTTCTTTAGAGATTTCAGCAGTGAAGGAAAAGTGAGAGTCAGATAGTCTATCAGTAGATAAGTAATTAGATATAGGATATAAACATGTTCCAGAAATATGTTCAGTTGATGAGTTGCTTTGAGAGCAGTTTGAGTGATGATTTGAAACAGAATGGGAGTAGATGTCCAGGTAAGCAGGGGGTTTGGTAATTATCTTCTAAGGATAGGTGATGGTGCAGGTGAAGAAAGATTTGGTGGATTAGTTTGAGTAGTATTATTAGGTGGGATATTGCTTGGGGCTTGGGAAGTGGTTTCTGAAGTGGGAGATTGATTGCCATGAGTGGGTGTAGATATAATGACAGGTGAAGGAGTTGGGCCTGTAGTGTTTGGCAACTGTGAAGCAGGGGAAGAATCAGTATAAGGGAAAGGCTGAGGTGTAGGAAATATAGTTTCTGAGGATTGTTGAGTTTCTGTAGCAAAGGGAAGAATATTCTCATAAAACTGAACATTTCTGGTGATTAATATCTTCTTGGTTTCCAAGTTATAAAGTTTATAGCCTTTATAACCAAGGGGATATCCAAGGAGTATGCATTTGGATGCTCTAGATGAGAACTTAGACCTATTAGCACATAGAGTGGATGCATAACAAAGACATCCTATGACTCTAAGATGGTCATATGTAGGTGGTTTATGAAATAGAGCCTCAAAAGGAGAGATGTTATGCAACACAGGTGTAGGGACTCTATTTATGATGTGTGCAGCAGTTAAAACACAATCAATCCAAAAATGCTTAGGCAAATGTGCATGAAATAGAATAGCTCTTGCAACTTGAAGGAGATGTTGATGCTTTCTCTCAACCCTAGCATTTTGTTGAGGTGTTTCTGCACAACTTTTCTGATGTATAATGCCTTTAGAATCATAAAAGTCATGCAAAATGAATTCAGTACCATTGTCTGACCTTAAGATTTTTATCTTTTTGTCAAACTGAGTTAAAACCATGTTATAAAATTGTTGAATGCAGTTTTTAGTATCAGATTTCTGAATGAGAGGATATATCCATGTGGTTCTAGAAAAATCATCAACAATTGTAAGGAAGTATCTATGACCAGCATATGAAGGGACACTATATGGTCCCCAAACATCACAATGGATTAAATCAAAGGCAGAAGAAGCAGTAGATAAACTAGATGAAAATGTAAGCTTCTTTTGTCTAGCATAATGACAGATATCACATGGATCAATGCTTTTTAAAGTATTCATAGCAATAGGCAAAGCAGAGAGTTTAGAATAAGAGAGATGTCCAAGTCTGTGGTGCCATAGCACATTGTCTGTAGTACAAGAACTGTTGGCAATTACAGGTAAATTCAAAGATACATCTAGATTGCTTGCAGTATGAACAGTATGATCAGTATGAGCAGTATGAGCAGTATGAGCAGTATGAGCAGTATGAGAGGCAGTGCCAAGACAAAGGTGGTAGAGACCATCCTTAAGCTCAACAAAACCAATCATTTTGTGTGTGTTCATATCCTGTAATATGCAGTAAGATGATAGGAATTTGACCATGTAATTGTTTGATGAAACCAACTTAGAGACAGAGATAAGATTAAATTTAAAGTTGGGAACATATAATGCATCTTGAAGAATGATATGATTTGAAAGGTGAACCTCTCCAATAGAACATGCTTCAGTTGTATTTCCATTTGGTAAATTTATTTTTGTTTTAGACAGAACAGATTTGAATTTATAAAATGATGAGTTGCAGATCATGTGATCTGTAGCTCCAGTGTCTAGAATCCATGAATTTTGATGAAGATTTCTAGTAATGATGCAAGAATAAGATGGAAATGTACCTTGTGTGCTTGAAGTATCTGGAAAGGCAGATGCCACCACAGGTGTATTATCAATTTTGGACATTTCCTTATTCTTTTTGTAAACTATAAACTCAGAAAGTAGATCATCAGTCAAGGAATTATTAACATGAGATTGCTCAGCAGGTGTAGTATGTAGTATGTTGGCAGAAGGCTGGGGAGGGTTGGGTGGAGGTCTAGGGCCTTTGGGACCAGTCCAGTTTGGAGGGTAGCCAATGAGTTGAAAACAGCGGTCAGAGGTATGACCATTATAGCCACAGTGAGTACACTTTGCTCTTTTCTTGTCTTTAGAGAAGGAAGGTTTAGAGGATTTGTGTTGAAGTTGACCAGTTTTGAGGAACATGGTCATGGAATCAGTGGGATTAGTGGTATTGTGTAGGTTTCTCTGAGATTCCTCTTGAAGGAGAAGGGAGTAGACTTTGGACAAGGAAGGCAAAGGTGTGGTCAACAGAAAATGGCTTCTCAGGGCAGAGTATGATTCATTTAAACCAATGAGAAATTTCATCACAGAATCTTGGTGCTGAGCAACAGACATGGATTCAAAGATATTAC